TGAATCTCTGTCCATTATTCTAATGGGACAGAGAGCAACACCGGTTCTGCACTTCACCAAGGCAGCATCACAATTCCAGCCGTAAATGGTGTACAGCGTTAAGGGAACAGGGATGAAGGCATAGCAATCCTTCACACTTCATATTTGCTCATAGTAATCCACTGACCTCCCCAACATTAATACTGAGTTTAGGTAGGAGGGAATCTGTCAGGCAGGCTCACTCCTCTGTTCTTCAAAAGCAAGGGAGTGTTAATCAGCTGTGGGCGGGGCGGGTCTTAGGGCAAGCCTCTGATGGCCAGTTGGAGCTCATCTAAAAAGCGGGCGGGGGTGGGTCTCCAGGCAAGCCTCTGATGGCCAGTCGGAGCTCATCTAGAAAGAAAGCCCAGGCAGTTCCAGCCGGATTCCTTTTAATGTCACAGTTCATTTGCAGAACCATAACTGGAATCAAGAATTAAAAAGCCTTGTATAAAAGTCAGTAACATTAAACCTTTAAGACTCATGTTTCATGTGTCATAAAAAGTCTATGAAAGGATTTTATATTCTGTACAGTGTTTTAGCACTTTCAATCACTTTTTTTTCCAACATAACTTTTGTGAACACTTTTATAGCCTCTAAATGAAAAACTAAACTATGTGTCATTCAAAAAAAAAAAAAAACGTTTTATGGATCACAGAATTTAATAAAAGTTCTGCACCATAACAAGCGCCTGATAAACCTTTATTAAAATTCATTAAAAATATTGAAAAATATTTTAACAGAAATTAGACCTCACGTTTTGGTAAACATGACAAATCACTCTTTAAAGAGTCTACTTGTTTATCACATATGCAGATTCTGTAGTGGTGAAAGAAAGGAATATAGGAATAAACCTGCTACTCAACGCTAGGGAAGTATTTTCTTGTGCCTGATGAGACTAATCCACTTAGGTCCTGGTTTTCAAAAGTCTTTAATAATTATGAAATACATACTAGAGTTTATATGAATGTTTATACAAACTGAAAATATATAATATGTATATGAGTATTTCCTAATATCAGAACCCACCAGAGCAACTTTCCTAGTGTAGTTCTTAGGGTCTGGAAAGCAGGGAAGGACTTTTCTAACATGATTGGGAATTTAGGCTCCTAAATATATTTTCTTCATACTATTTTTATAGGGTAATATATACCTAAGGGCTCTAGAACATTGGTAATACATAAATTTATTTTATATATGTGCATGCCCTTTCTAATATTGATATAAATGCAGAAAATACACAAGAATCTACAGACCATGTACATACATATGTTTAAACATATCACTACATTGACTTAATTTTAGATATATAGGTATTAGTACATATACACACATAAGAGAAAATTTTGAAGGTTTTTAGGGATGGGTTGTTTATCATTTTTGCAGTGACAATGTTTTCAAGGTGTGTGTGTGTGAGTATTCTATAGATCTGAAAGCCTCTATGTGGTAGGTAACCTTAGATTTCATCTATACTAGTTCTGCAAATAACCATGGATCTCTACCTCATCTCCTTCCAATATAGTGGCCAAGCACCTCTGAACACAACTCTCTGCTGTGGATCTCTGTGTGTGGGGCCCATCATTCTAGTCAGAAACATATCTAGTTAAAATCCCCATGACTAGACCTCTGCCAATTAAAAGATTGATGAGGCTGAGACTTTAGTTTGCAGATAGTAGACGAATTTTCTAAATGCTGAATAATTATTCTCAGATGCTGTACAAGATTAAAGACTTCTATTAATAATAGGTTTTCATATTTTTGTTTTATTAAATGCAATGTAGCTTACATTAATAGTTCTTTCAATTGTTTTTAGTACACTCTCACAGCACCTTTTAATAGCAGTGGGGCATGTGTCAGGGAAGAAAAGACCTAGAAAAGGGGAATACAGGGTGATTCACCTAGTTTATTTGTTTTAAAAGATGAAATAAGTTTTGGATGGATTATTGGTGGAGAAAACACTCAAAGTTCACAATGATTTCAGGTAGCACAGACCTAACCTATTTCTGCACTATGTGCGAAGCTTCTGTGTTAATGTCTGTTGTCTTGACAGCAGCCATAATTTATGCTTGTAATTATACTTTTTTTCCAGCTGTAAACTCCGATTGTTCCCCTACAGTCATGAAGTCACTATGCAGCAATGTCATGTCACAAACTGATGGGACATAATGAGGACATATTGGAAAAAATCCTGGGTGGAGAATCATATTGTATTTAATGGGGATCAGAAGAAAGTCTGTGCAACAGTATATAAACATGTAAGATAAAATATATACACAATTAAAAGTTTATACATACTCTATTCTTTTCTTTTTTTCTTTTCCGTTGAGGTCATGAATTCAAGGTAGCCTTGAACTACCAGACAAAGGTGGCTTTATCTCATTTTATAGCACCACTAGAAAAGGAGATTACATGAGCTTTCTTGGTAAACCATTTGTAAACATGTAAGTAAGATTTTTCTACTCACGCTGCTGTAGCTAGAGTTTTCCTGCCTGGCCCACAGTCAGGACAAATCTCTGACACCTGCCAGTCCCACAGCCATTCAGACCCAACCAAATAAACACAGAGACTTATATTGGTTACAAACTGTATGGCCGTGGCAGGCTTCTTGCTAACTGTTCTTACAGCTTAAATTAATCCATTTCTATTAATCTATACCTTGCCACGTGGCTTGTGGCTTACCGGTACTTTACATCTTCCTTGTCCTGATGGCGGCTGGCAGTGTCTCCCTCACCCAGCTTCCTGTTCTCTCAATTCTCCTCTCTGTTAGTCCCGCCTATACTTCCTGTCCGGCCACTGACCAATCAGTGATTTATTCATTGACCAATCAGCAACACATTTGACATACAGACCATCCCACAGCACGCTGCATTTTCTTTTCTTGTGCGCTTTTTATTTTTTCTTGAGTTGCTCTGCTACTTCTGCCAGCTTTCACCTTTCAGATCCCCTTTCCAATCAGTCACCTGCTTTTAAAGTTTGTTTCATGTATTTTTTACTTGGAGTTTACGTGTGTTATACTTGCATGTATTTGTCTGTGCACCATGTGAGAAGGGAGTCCATGGAGGCCAGAAGGTATCAGATCCCCTGGGACTGGAGTTTCAGATGGTTGTCAGTGGCCGTGTAGGTGCTGGGAACTGAACTTGGGTCTTCTGGAAGAGCAGCCAGTGCACTTAACCACTGAGCCATCTATCCAATCTCCAGCCACCTGCTCTTTATTGCTCTGAATTTTCATAATTCCATTCCAATTTGTTTTTCACACTATGGGAAAGATCTTAAAATGTAATCCATGCCATTTTTTTTCATTGCTTAAAATTTTCCAAGTTTCATCTTGTCTTTAGAAAAAGTTTAGATATCTCTGCATGACACAGAGACCTCCTTATAATCTGGCAACCACATATCTATGTTTTCTGTAAAATTCATTTTAATTCCTCTTATTTTTTCTTTGTACAGATAATAATAGCTGCCCTATACTACCATGTGGCAGACATTATGCTAAGGAATTTTACAGCTTTCTGGCTTTACTCTGTTGATTCCGTTCCACCCTTTATAGGAGACTGAGTGGATTTCTAGTATCCTTTTTCTTAGCAATGTAGCTTGTCTTTCTCTGCCAAGAACCAGGAAGAAAGCACTGGCTGAAACAACAACAACAAATCCCTGCAGTGATGGAGCTTGCGTTTTACTTTTGTTCCCAAACAGATCTAGCAGTTACTGGTCTGCGTGGATTCTTTGAGTGGAAGGATACACAATAAGAAAAGCAAAGCCAAACAGACAGAAAACCTTGACGATGCAGGGATGCTGTAGAGTGGCTGTAAGGAGATGGAGGAAAGGATCCTTAGAGTTCACATAGTCCAGTGGTTCTCAACCGTCCTAACACAGAGACTCTTTAATACAGTTCCTCATGTTGTGGAACTCTAACATTAAAATTAAAACCATAAAATTATTTCGATGCTCCTTCATAACCACAATTTTGCTACTGTTATGCGTCATAATGCAGATATGTGATGGGCAACCCCAGGCTGCCTGGAGGGTTCGAATCCCATGCTGTGCTATCACAGGAGCCCACCGCAGCACTCCGCTCTCTGAATCTGGACTCCCCGCCAGATTGTGAACTCACTCTACATCTTCCTGTGTCTGACCTCCTTAGTCCCTTCTTCATCTAGCTATCCCCTTGTGACAGTAAATTTTAATATTTGGGACTTTTGGCTTGGCCATGACACCCATGCTTGGTTAACACCAGTCTAGGAGCTGCTCTAAACATATTTTTAGATGAGACAAAGATTTACAGTAGCCTTTGAGCTTAGAACTTCAATGCAGACTGTCCTGCACCATGAGGTGGGCTTGTTTAATCCGTTGTAAGCCTTAAGCAAAAACCACTGAGCTTCCTTGGGAATGAGAGACCTCTGCCCCCCCCCCCCCCCAACTACTCTTTCCTGGGTTTACAACCTGAAGGTCTACATTGCAGGATTCAGAGTTCTGAGTCAACTACTTAAACTAAATTTCTCTGAATGAGCATACACACACACACACACACACACACACAAACCATACAGATACAGACACACAAACCATACAGACACAAACACATATACCCAGACACACACCTACAGACACACACACAGACATGTACACACAACACACATACACAGACACACAAACACATGCAAACACACAACATACAGACACATATACACAGACACACAACACACAGACACATACACAGACACACACAGACACACACAGATACACAAACACACGCAGACACACAGACACACACCTACAGACACACACACACAGACACACAACACACAGATACATACACAGACACACACCACACAGACACATACACAGACACACACAGACACACACAGATACACAAACACATGCAGACACACAGACACACACCTACAGACACACACACACAGACACACAACACACAGATACATACACAGACACACAGACACACAGACACACACATACACAGACACACACAGACACACATAGATACACACACACACACACACACACACATTTTGTTGTTTCACTCTTCCTTTGGAGAACCCAATGTGTACATTAGGCTCTAATGTACACCCATCTTCTTAATACATTGGGATTCACCCTCCTCTATCTCATTTATCTTTCCTCTTTCCTACTTGCTTCTTCCAGGCTCTGCAGAAGTCTTTGGACTAGTGACTGGCCTCGAGAAGACAAATTCCTCTGCCACAGACTGAGACCATTTTCCTTGAAAGAAGGGGACATAAGAGTTAGTTGCAAGGAGTCATTTAGCACTTCCATGGGGAGATCCTGGAAGACATGGATTTGAATTTTGTCTTCAGTGTGTGAGTGTTTGAGCTGGGTCAGTTATCTTGCAGCTTTGTGCTTCAGTTTCTTTGTGGGTCAAAGGGGAGAAGAATTCTTTATGTCTCAGAACTGTGGTGAGGGCTGGGTGGGCTTATGGCTTAAGGGCTCGTGGAACACTGACTAAAATTTAATTAGTGCTAAAAATAAATGCTTGTGACACAAGTAATAATTTTATAGCTCCCATTCAAGGCAGTTTATCCACAACTGAAGATCAACCTGGATTTGACAATAACCATTCATCTTATAGTGCATTCTCCAAACACTGAAAAAGAATAAAATTATTTACATTTTCCTGGCTATGCCCATTATGTATTTTTATCTTCAGAAGAGATGAAAGATACTTAGGTATAAGGCCAAAGTGAAAGTATCTATAACCCAAACCAACAATATGTAAAAATTTTCTGTGAGGGGCTAGAAGTTAATATTTTGACTTTGTAAGCCATTCAATCTCTGTTGTAATCAAGCCTATGGTAATGTCAAAGCAGCTACACAAATGGATATGACTGTATCCCAATAAAACTTTAAGGAAGTTTTTAACTGACACATAGTACTTGTTCATATTTATGTGGCACAGTGAGATGTTTGATACATGGGCATGTTATAGAATGGTTAAATTGGAATACTAAGCACAACCATCACCTTGATTATTTATTGTTTCTTTGTCATGAAAAGAATATAAAAACTGTTTTCTAGTTACTTGCCACAGATATACAACATAATATTGTCAACTACATTTTGTAGAGCACCAGAGTGTGTTTCTTGTAACTGTAATTTTGTGTTTGAACCATCTTTATCAATCCCCACCTATCACATACCCTTATAGACTCTGGTAACTACGATTTGATTCTTAACTTCCATGTTATCAGCCCTTTTAGAGTCCACAAATGAGTTCAGTTATGCATCATTAGTCTTTCTGTTTGGGGCTCCCCACCCCCTTTACACTATGAGCATCACATGATTTCATCTTTTTTTCCCCATTTTTGGTGCATGTTCCAGATGTCTGTATACATGCTTTTGTGTGTGTGTGTGTGTGTGTGTGTGTGTGTGTGTGTGTGTGTGTGTGTGTGTTAGGCTGAGATTAATGTCAGAAATCACCCTCATCACTCATCTACGTTACTCCCAACATCTAGGAAAGAGGAAGAGTGTCGATATGAGTTGTCTCAGAGGATGGTTGGAGCTGGGCTAGGATGGAGAAAGGCAGACCACACTCATGGGGGTGTCACTGTGGGCCAAGAGTCATCTGCCTAGAGGGAGGTGCAAATTAAGTACTAAATAAGTCTTTGTTAACTGAGAGAATGAATGAGTCACAGCGCAGCAGTACTTTCCAAAAAGGTAAAGCAATCTACGCTGCTGCTGTCTTTCTTAGTGCGCTCAGCCACTGTGTGCCGTGGTCTGAAACCTGTGTTTTCCTTTGACTCCTATACATTATCTTTCTTTAAATTGTTTTGCTGTCCTTTGGCCAGTCTGAACAAGTTAATTAAAACACCAAAATGGCATTGTCCTTAGGTTTGTCTAGTGAGTTCTGTATTGGGTTTGGTGGGATCAAGAACATGGGTGTTCAGCTTGCTTGGCAAAGGAGACATTTATGCGAACACATTGCTTCCAGCTTAGGAAGTCTATTTCAGGTCTGGCTATAAAGGTTATGAATATTCTGGGAACATGGGATTTTGGAAAATTTCCAGAACCATCAAACACTGAAACTATGCTGACTTCAATTGTTATACTCACAGGGTGCCTCCTAATGACCTGGACAATAATCCTACTTTGCTTCGTGACTACTGACTGATGCCACATGGATAAGGTAATAAAACCATCTTTGAATATGTTGGAAAAATGAAATTGGTGTTTAAGTGATCACAGCCTTTCCTAAATATGCTCAGATTTAAAACACGAATATTCTTTAAATGAATAATTATGTGATTATTTCCTCAAATACAACTTAAATTGTATCAGAAAATGCTTTGCCGAACAAAAAAATTACATATATAATATAACTGTCGTGTACAATGATATTTTAAAGGCAAATCTTCAGTAGCATTAAAGATAACAACAGAGACCCCCCCCCCACCCCCACCACACTGGAAAGTCTAGAAAGCCTAACACATTCATTTCATTTGTATCTGAAGTTAACACGGCACACCATCAGAGAATAGGGATATGCTGGTAGACAGTAATGAGAGCTAATATTAATGTGGGTTTCCAGTTTTAAAAAATCCCCATAGTCTGTTTTATTTGTAGGTAAATCTCTTTCCCTTCTGTTGGTAATAGGTATTTCTTATAATAGAGATGTGTAATTGAAGCTTGCAAATAGCATTGTAAAATAAATAAATATCTTTTTTAAATAGCAACTCTGAAATTTCTACAACTCAGATAACTGTATTCTTTTTAGTATCCCACTTGCTCATCCAAGCTGAGATGAATTATCATTCCGGTTGAAGTTTTTCCCTAAAGAGAATCAAAGCTCTTTGCCTATAAATTCCACAACATCCTTTGACTGAAGTCATTTTATCATATATCCTAGAACACTAATTCTTTTTATCTTGTTTACAAAAATGTATTGGGGGAAGATTCCAGTAAGCACCTGTCTGTCTTTCTTTGTTTAAACACAAAAATACCATGTGGAAAGCTATTTCTAATCTGACTTACTTTTAAAGTGCCCTATACATATGCCAGTTTTCCTGCATGTTTTGACAAATGACACATTTCCTTTGGTGCTTCCTTGTGGGTAACAGCGTGTGAGGATGTGGTGCTGGAAAAATTTATTACAGTTATTTTGTAGTTGATATTAAAAAATGTGATGTATTATACCAGGTGTCTGACCTTTAAAGATCTTAGGACCTAATTCATTACAACATAAAATTTACATATTATTCAACTTTGCTGCAGAGCTCTTACGAACAAGTCCTAGTGTGTGTGTGTCAGGACAGAGAAGAAAAAAAGCTAAACTCAGGCCAGAGCTGAGGACTAGGCTCCAAGTTTACACATGTGTGGGACTTCTGTGACTTGGAGCGGAGGAGCTGCATGATTGTGTAAGTAAAGGAAGGTGCTGGAGAAACTTGGTACAGTGAAAATGTCATGGATTCATGAAGTACACCTTTTCAGAGATTCCCATGGAGTCTACCTTCAGTACAGGGCAATGAAAAGTACATCTAAGAGAGAATGAAGCACCCCATGGTCCCACTGACTGACTTTAAGGGATTGAACCTGATTCAGCCAACAAAACAATATATAATGATTATTTTATACCTGATTTAAGCATTTAGAAGTCAAAACGAAAACTCGTTATGAAACAAAAACCCTAGGTAAAAAAAAAAAAAGTAAATATATTTGAAATCATGTATATGTAACAGTTTTTCAAAAGAATGAAAATGTGAATCATATTACAGCAAGTTAGATCTGAACACTAAGATTAGGTGCTACTGGAAATCAGATTATGCTACTTGAATTCTCTTAATTGTTTTTAATGTTTCCTTTTCAATGAAAACTAGACTATCATTTTATCATAATACATACTTACATTATTTATGTTTCTAACCAAACAAATATCTGTTAAATTGAAAGCTCAACTTTTAATAAGTACATGTACAGTATCCTACAGGATAACATAGGAGTGCTCATTTGTAAAAGCGAGGTCCCTATGGCTTCCTATCTCTCAAGGATCCCCAAACCTTGATTGATAATGCTGTCTTTCCCTGAGGAGGTTTTAATATTATGGCAGAAAAATAACTTCAAATATTTCTCTCTATAGAGATTATAAAATAATTTGAGTTAATGCAGATGGGCTAATCATGTCAATACAAGTCAAACACTGTTTAAAGATTCAGTTTGCTATCACAGATAATGTTTCCGTATTCGGCAGTTTAATTAGCCAGGAGGAAGCATTTCATCTCAAATGCTGATTTTCTAAATTACTTTGCTGGAAGGTATAGAAATTATACTTAAAATTTCCTTTTTGGATATGTGCTAATTTTTAGCAAGTGGGCGGGGCCATCAAAACAAGGCAAAATGTAAAAAGCCACAATTATCCTCCGAGTGAGTGGCTTTTGGCAAACCCAAGCCAATCACAGGCCTTAAATGGCAAGGTGAGAAGTGTTGTGTTTTCGCGGTAGAGGGAGCTGTCTTCTAGTCCTAGCACGAGCGAAAATAGAAGGTCACTCAGTCTATTGATAAATCACACCGCCGTGATTCCTAACTGACAGCTCGAACTAACATCACGCTGGATGAGGGAGAACAAAAGGCCATCAAGCAGCCATTTTCTTGACACTTTTATTCAATCACCAGCAGATTGCTTACGACAGCAATAGCAGCTGTTTTGTCTTCATCTTTCCACATTTGATAAAAGGTGTCAACTCAAATTTTTGTAAATAATTCACTTACCCCTACTGCACACACCAGCACTGCTCAGCATATGTATTTTGTGGGAGCAGATCGCCGAGGCAGGTCAGAGCTCAGTGATAGCAGCTGAAGGTCATCTGTGATCTTAAAAGACGCCTCGATAGAGCCATACCGTCCTTCAAGGTCAGAGATAAAACTATGCGTAGATGTGTGTGATGGGCACAAAAGGTTACCCGGTAAGGAGGAAAATATATGAAAATGCTTCCTTCAATAGAAGACTCATTTTCTTTGTTTAAGAAATCTCACTTCCAGCTCCTTGGTCAGTTATCAGTGTAGGGTATTTGTAAACCCACTGAAGAGATTAAAAATCTAAATTGCTCTTTGAAAAGTTTGAAGAAAGCATTATTTGTAGCCTGCTATTCATCATGACTGTATGGAGGCCAGAGCTACAATCCATTTCTATGTCCTTTTTAAAAAGAATCATAAAAAGAGTGTCAAAAATTAATACAGTTAGAGAGAATTTCATTTATCAAGTTCATTTAAAATTCTACCCTGAAATGCATTTAGGCTTGAGAGCTGAGGGGAAAAAAATAGAGAAAGAAGGTGTTTTATATCATAAGAGCTTCGTTTGCTTTAAGGGCTTAGAGAAACTAATAGAGAAATCCTTGAATTATTGCAATAAGATACTCTATCTGGTGTTGGCAAGCAGCTAAAAGCACTGAGATTAAAAATGATACATCCTTCAATGCTAGCTTGTTTTTTAGGTTACATTACTCACAGAATAATCTAAACAACAAACAGTCACTACTTGGTTTATATTTTCTAATAGGAAAAGTCCATGTGTTTTTGAGATCCTGTCTGAGTGCCACCGCAGGGGGATTTATTACCTGTAATTGATGTGCACGGGGATCAAAGAGCACCTTTCTTCCATTTTCTCCTATTCTTTCTACGTCAGAAGTGGGGGGAAATAACTCTTACAATTGCACTGGAAGAGGTGTGGGAGGACAAAATGAACCAGGATAAAGTACTGCTGTGGTTAGACAGGGCATTAAGCACGTTTTGAACCTAAATTAGTTACTCCAATTCCTGGTTGAAAATTAATTCCCACAAGGAAAATTAATATCTCCACAACTCAAATCTTTATAAATAGGCAGCAAACAGGGATTTAGAATAAATTTTTAATCTTCTGTATTTCAAAGCACAGGGTTACCTTCAGGTTGGCACGTATTTGCCCCTGAAGACTTAGCAATGCCATCTTATACTGTGGTTTGTCTTCTTACCACATGTACTTCTCAGCGAGATTGTAGGATCATGGGAGCAGGAGGCACATCTTATCAATTTCATAACTGTAATGTTCTCATAAAGCATGTGAAGCACTTGCATTCATTATCCAGTTTTTATGTTACTCTTGTCAGATTGTTTGATCAGAAGAGAAGGAATGTGGGTTTAGGAATCATGAGGTGACTATACACATGTAAGCTGAGTCCATCCAGGGGGATTCCACCATGCAACTCAGTGCTCTTCTATTCCTTAGTACCCTGAATTTAGGGCTCACATAAGATGGAGCACAGTGCTAGCCACGGAGCAAACATCCAATATATTGTTTAAGAAATTGGATTAGGACATGTGTGTTTTACTGAGTGATGTGTAGAAGGCATTTCCAAGCTTTCTATTTTTTTATGACAACAACTTGCTTAGTAGATCAATTAGAATAAATGTGTGTCTGGTCAGAAAAACTGAAAAAAGCAAAGTGTTTACTCTGGAGAAGCTTCCATTCTGAGCGGAGGTGGGATTGTGTTTTTGTGATAGAGGGTTCGCTTTCTCAGTTGTAAAGTGGGGAGAGCACTCACGGCTGTGTCTCATCAGGTTGTTGTGCAGGCTGGAGAGGGTTTGTGAGCTGTGAAAGGCTTCATTGTTAAGGCCAGTGGATGGTCCTGAGAGCAACGGTGAGTTCAGAAGTGAGGGAGAGTCACTCCTACAGGAATGTGGGAAATCTAAGCAGGACGGGAAAAGGCAGGAAGATGTAAGCCCAAAGCCAGGGCTACGGGAAAATGAAACAAAACAACAAAACAAAAACCAAACATCAGAGCAAATCAACAACAGTCTGAAAACAGCACCAATCCAGACATTTGTAAAGCATTGGAAATAGCGGAATACCAGAGTGCTTACCCATGGGGGGGCACGTATTGATGTCTTGAGACCAGATAAAGGGGTGGCGGCGGGGAGGGGGGGTTGTCTGCAAGTCTTCCTACCTTGTGGAAGAGCCTTACTTCAAATGCAAAGACACTTTGGCGAGGAGAGTGGTGATTGCTTTCCTTTTAGCTAGCTGCACAAGAGGATCTCACTGAGGACTTTAAGGAAGCGCAAGTTGTTACAGGAAGAAGAATGTAGACTATGGGAAGTGTCATGATTATTAGGGAAAAAGTTCCCCAGATACTGTACAAGAACCAGAAAGAGAATCACCGCTTCTTCTTCCCATCTCAAATTATTCTAAGTAAATTACTTACATTGATTCAATGGGTCTGTTCATCAGGTGAGGTAACGGAGACCAGAAAGGTTAACTAATGTGTCCTAACTCACAGCAGGGGAAGTTGGAGGGCAGAGTTCAATGTCGGTCTGTTTACCCCCAGCCTGGCTGCAGAGCCCAGCTCCAACACTGTTGTGCTGTAAAGGTCCTGATGAATCCTTAGATCCAAAAGCACACAGAAAGTCATGACATCAGGTATGTTCACTTCATGAAAACATCTCCGCTTTGTGTACCTTTCTTCATCCATTACACTAAGATAAAGAGTCAACTTAACAAAGAAAATACTGTCTGCACTTTGGACGAAAAGATTAGAACTGCCAATCTCATTATCTTCAGTTTTCACGAATGGGCATAATTTAATTTTTCATTTTACTTATTGTGGGTAGGGGACCCCAAACAGCTTGACCACACAACTGCCATGACAGGCTTTGAGGCCAGACACAGCTTCTGTAACAGGCTTACTGGCAGGTAACACCCAGATCCAGAAAAAGCCATAAGCTGACTTCACCCAGGGAGGGCCTGCATCTAAGGGGAAATACCCGACATTTCAACCATTCCCTATACCCTTAGATAAAATGTCAGCCAATCAGGGTCCTGAACCCTGGAAATCCCCTCACCCCAACCTCTGCTATGATAAAAACCCCATCCTGCCTGGGCTCAGGGCTCTCTGCTCTCACCGCTGCAGAGCTGGACAGAGAGTCCAAGCTATGAGCTTGAAAATAAAGGCTCTTTGCTTTTTCATACAGGATTCAGTGGTCTCTGTGGTGGCCTTTTGTGGTCCCCATGATGTGGGCATAACACTTCTATGTATTTTATTTTCAAAAATTTGTTTGTGTGTTTGTGTGAATGTGTGTTTTGGGTATGTGCACATATTCATGTGGGTGTGCATGCACTTATAAGGGCACACACATGTTGAGGCCAGGGGTCAATGTTGAATCTTTCTGTATCTCTATTCCAACTAATCACCTGAGACAAGGTCTTTCCCTGAACCTGGAGCTCACTAATCGGCTAAGGGACTCTGAGGGGTATGCCTGCTTCTGCACTGACATATTGGGATTCTAGGTGCGTGCCACCACATTTGGCTTTACATGAGGGTTGATGATCTGAACTCAGGTCCCATGCTTGTGACAGG